CCAGAACATGTAAATAAGGGTTTGAGGTCAAGGAAATGTTTCTGCCAGCTTTCTGTTAGGTTGGTTGGGTTTTTTTTCTCTCTCTCTTTCTTTGTGTTGTTAATCTGACTTAGACTTCTGCTAGAGGCCTCCAGCACTGAACCTAGTTGGTTGAAGATGTGGATGTCTCTTACTGGGGGAGAGCTGAGTGATTCAGGTCCTGAATTTTTGGCTCCTTTGTAGTGACAGCCAGAGTGACAGTGATGTGGCAGCAGCCTCCCCCTGAGGCTATCTCCTGATGCAAGCTGGTCAGCATTGGGCAGCTTATTCAGAATATCAAACAAAATGCAGTTCGGTGCTCTTTGTACGCTGGCAGGGTGTGGAGTTCTCCTGTATTCTCTGCTTACTTGCATGTACATCCTCTCCTTCCAGATAATTTTAGATGTGGTACCAACGTTGCCAGACATCCCACTGCCGCCGATCCAGGCCAACTACCGCCCGCTCCCCTCACTCGAGTCCATCCCCTGCTCCCAGACAAAAAGGAAAGGTGTGTTGGGCAGGAAAATGGGGCTGGAATGGGCTGCAGCCCCTGTGGGAGGAAGGGAGGGAGTGCTGGTTCAGTTCCATCTTTCTGTTGGGGTCTGGTGTCCTGCCTTTGATGCCCAGAGCCTTGGTGTCAGGAAAAAAAGTGTCTGCTTTCCCATGTGCTCTAGCAGAAATGAGGGAGAGCCTTTGCTGGCTTTGCCTGAGCCTTGGGCTTTGGACTTGCCCTTCCTGAACTAGGTTGCCAGTCTCTTGGAGAAGACTTGGCCTTTGAGGGTGCTTCTGGGTGACCGGTTTGTCTCCTGTGCCATTGATCAGGGCAAGCTCTTTCCTCTGTTCCCTTCTTACTCCCAGCCTTTCTCTTCACAGCAGTGTCCTCACCAGTGGAAGAGAGCGAGGCAGGCTTCACGGGCCGCCGGCTGAATTCAAAGATGCAAGTGTACTCTGGCTCCAAGACTGCCTACCTCCCAAAGATGATGTCTCTGTACCAGCAGTGTATCCGAGTCCTCAGTAACAACATTGACTGTGAGCACAGCCCCTTCCTCCTGCCCCTCCTGCTGTGCAGTGTCGTGCAGCACTGTGTTTTTTTTGTCCACCACGAGGAAGGAGTGGGGTAAAAAAACCTCTGTGCATCTCCCTTCTCTCTAGCCATCTATGAGGTGGGCGGGGTCCCCTTCTCGGTGCTGGAGCCGGTGCTGGAGCGCTGCACCCCCGAGCAGCTCTACCGCATCGAGGAGTGCAACCACGTGAGTGGCCTGGGGCAGGGAGGGGACACGGGG